TAAATATGGTTTCTGGTTGGTTCAAAAAGTTTAAATTTTTTATGAATTCTATGGGTGTTACAGATAGATTACTTATTAGCCTTAGTGATCTAAACAAAAGTCGTAGTAGTCGTAAAACCGAGAGCGTACATATAGGGAACGTCCAAATTTGACTTCGTATGAGGAAGTTATGATTTTTCCATGTTTCAGCATAGCAATGTCTGATATAGAAAACAAAATTAAAATCGGACGACTGTTAGGAAAAGCAATCTAAACGAGAATTGAAGATCTCGTCGATATGATTTCGTCGATATAAAGACAGTCGAGAACGGAATCTATATGAAGAAGTTATGAATTTTACACGGTCGTTAGCAGTATAATCTTCGTAGATTGTTAAATTTAAGATCAGACGAGAATTAGTTGATGGGTTCTAAATGAAAGTTGTATTACTAGTTGATAGCTACGCATGGATATAAAGAATGTATCGTATGCGAGAGATACGATTTTTAGAAGATTTATAGTTTTACCTGGTATGGGTGGCACAAAGGCTGCCACGTTGCTTCACCGGCTCAACCCAACCCACCTACCCATAGTCACGGCGCACAAGGGTAGGTGTGCATAGTGTGCCTACTGGAAAATCGCCTGTATATGACCATTTAGCCCTCCTCTCATTTCCCACACCAATTTCTCTCTATTTATCTCTAAGGTCCGAAATTTTGGGGTATTTTTGGGAGTCTGGGGAACTCCACTCTAGTGAAGCTCTAAGGCAGAGGGTCGGGCAAATAGAAGTGCTCGGTATCGAAGTTCTGCCTTGCAAAATTCCCGGTTTTCGCTAAAAATTCTTTGTAAGTTAGGCTACACTTACTACGCTTAAAGTGTAACTTGTATTTATATTCATAGTCATTGTTACGAATGTATATATAAGATTTATTAGTAAGCCTAGTTATAATGATGGTTGATTTACTTACGGGAGAAGTGTCTAAAATGGTTATGGTGGCTTGGTTGTTAGATTTCAGAAAGGCTATATGCCGAAATGGTCATGTCTCCCAACTATCCTGGCTGACTGATCCTTATTTGATAGAACTCTCGGTATTTATTGGGATTAGTGAAAGATCTAGTTTTCATTAACAAATCATCATATAGATTAATAAGTTATAATATTATAGGTTAATACTAGTTAGGCGCGTTACCCGCTAGTTGGATCGCTAGTAGAATCAGATAGTTGTTAATCATCTAAGTAAATTATCCAGGTGAGTTTTCTCACTATATTATGTGCTCCGGTATATATCCTCTATATGTTAGGATATAGTTGCCCTGTAGTATGCCATTAGGATATTTCTGTTAGTTGTCGGTAATATTGGATTATTGCATGTTGTAGTGTTTCTATGTGTTGATATATTACGTGAGGAGTTGAGGGCGGCCCAGCCACGGGCTAAAATCCAATAGAATCGGGCGGACCAAATTTATGTTGAAGGTCAAGTAGCGTACCAGCTTTATTCTGAAGGCAAAAAGGGCAGACCAGCTTTGCGCTGAAGGCCAAGGGTGGACCAGCTTTATGTTGAAGTCCATTATGTGTATGCATTGTATATGTACTGTGGTATATGGTAGTTTGGGGAACTCACTAAAATTCGTGCTTACCCAGTTGAATATAAAGATTTTTTCAGGTACTTCATTAATTCGTGACAAGGGCAAGGTTCGACTGTACACACGCACATTCGCAACATGTTTGCACATAATGTAATTATACTCTTATATATTTTAATAAATGAAAATGAAAATTTTGGTTTGAAAATGGCGACGTTACATATATGGTCACCTACCAGACTACTCTGTTGTACGAGTTTTTGTATGTACTTGTTTTGTTCTTAGTCCTCATGTTGAGTGGAACAAGGTGGAGCCGAAATCGGCTATTTGTGTATTTTTTTTGGGGGGGGGGGGTATGATGTTGGACAGAAAGGATATTGTTTCTATGATCCTGTGAGTAAGAAGTTATACGTTTCCCCACATGTCACCTTTGTGGAACGTATTAATTTATACTCGATTCCTGCTACATCCCATGATGCAACAAAGTCATATCTTCTGCATATTGATCCTTTTGATGTGGATATATAGGCTCAGGATTCATCCATGCCACCTGATTTTCCAATTCTTGACACACCCACTTCTTCAGATAGTACCTCAACTCCTCCTGTTTATGAGCATGCTCCTTCGACTGTTTAGATTGTAGAGCCACCTCCACCACCCATCATAAGGTCTACTCGTCCTACCAAGCTTCCCGCTTTTGCTTACTCTATATACTCAGGTCCATTTGCCTCATTTATAGCCAGCATCCATCATCTATCTAACCTGAATCGTACAGAAAAGTTGTATTAGCTCCTCTTTGGCAAAATGCTTTGGTTGAGGAACTCACTGCTCTTTATTAGATTCATACATGGTATTTGGTTTCTCTTCCTCCTGGTAGACATACTATTAGTTGTCGTTGGATGTATAAGATAAAAACAAAGTTTGATGGGTCTGTTGAGCGATACAAGGCCATACTTGTGGCAAATGGGTATTCTCAATAGTATAATTTTGACTATGAGGAGACATTTTACCCGGTAGCGAAGATGGCGACAGTCCATACTATGATTGCTATTGCATCCGTTCGAAAGTGGAAGATATTTCAAATGGATGTCAATAATGCCTTTTTGAATGGTGACCTCCACGAGGAGGTTTATATGTCTCCTCCCCCAGGCATTCCCCACCAACCGAGTAAAGTTTATTAGCTTCGCAAAGCTTTATATGGTCTCAAGCAAGCACTTCGTGCTTGGTTTGATAAATTCTCCACAATGGTTAACTCTCTTTGATTTGTCCAGAGCAATCATGATTCGACTTGTTTTATTAGATGTAGATTGCAGGTGTCCTTATATATGACATGACTATTACTGGTGATGATCATGGTGGTATTGAGTCTTTGAAGCATGATCCGGCTCATCGGTTTCTTGTGAAGGATTTGGGCTTGTTGCTTTATTTCTTGGGTATTGAGGTAGATTAGTTTAAGAAAGGGTATTTTCTTTCTCAGACTAAATACATGTCTGACTTATTTACATGAGTGTGCCTCTCTGACAACCAGACTGTAGATACTCATCTTGAAACCAATGCATGATACTCTCCTAGTGATGGTTTACCTTTATCAAATCTGAAACTTTACCAGACTATTGTAAGAAGTTTGGTTTATCTTACAGGTACTCATCCGGATATAGCTCATGTTGTTATTGTCGTCAATCAGTTTGTTACTACTCATACTTCTGTTAATTGGGGAGCTGTACTCCGTATTCTGAGATGTCTTTGTGGCCCTCAGTATTATACCTTCCTATTTCCCTCGACGTCTTCTCTTGAGTTACGTTCCTATAGTGATGTTGATTGGGATGGCGATCGTCATGATCATAAATCCATAATCGGATTTTACGTGTTTCTTGGAGAGTCTCTAATTTCATGGAAAAGCAAGAAACAGGACGGTGTCTCTAGATATTCCACGGAGGCTGAGTATCGTGCTATGGATATGACTACATGTGAGATTATCTGGTTATGATGGCTTCTTGCAGATACGTGGGTTCACACTTCTCTGCCCACTCTCCTGCATTGTGATAACAAAAGTGCAATACAAGTTGCGAATAATTTTGTTTTCCATGAGCGGACAAAGCACATTGAGATTGATTGTCACTTCACCAGTCATCACTTACAGCTCGGGACCATATCGCTCCCGTTTGTTCCATCAACCTTGCAGCTTGTTGATATTTTTACGAAGGCTCTCTCGAAATCTAGGTTTCAGTTTTTGTGTGACAAGCTCTCAATACTTATTGTTGTGGCATTGTGAGTTTGATGGGGGTGTTAGCTCATATGTTTATGTTAACACATTTGTTTATGAGCCCCTTTGTCTTAGCACTTTAGGGTTTAGTGCTTTAGGTATTTATTTCCCTTTTCCTTATTTGTAGCTCTCATGCTTTTCTAACAAAGAACTCTAACTTTTTTTCTCTTAAACATGAGTGTTGTTCTATTATCAAATATGACTTGACACATATAGTCATCATACCTTCACTTGCTATATCATCACATCGTCTAAAATGTTTCGTCTTCCATTATCTCCAGGGAGCACTCAACACGTCCAAAACCTTCATTGTGGTAAACAAGAAATGCACCTTCTTGCCATCTTCATAATTCATTTCCTTTAAACTTTTTTTAGTTCGTGCCGCAAGACCAACCACACTTAAACCTAAATCACACACACTTAGGCGTTGTTTTTTTTTTTAATTCATGAATTTATAAAGTTGGCTGAATTACTAATGATATATGAAGTGATAAAGTATTGTTAATATAAATATTGTTTTTTTACTGGATGCATTTACTGAATCTGAATAATGACTATTTTACCCTCCTGTTTAAAATAATAAATTACCATTTCTTTAATACTTGTTATAAAATATAAGTACACAAAATGATCATTTATTTAATAACCATTATAAATTAAAAGTGTATATCATCACATTAAATAACTTTTAAATGTTAATTAAATTAAAAATAACGTGATACTTAATTAATGCATTCTAATAAAAATAAATCTAACATATTCATTATACTAAATTAATTGTTTTATGACTTATTGCAATGAAATAATATGCTTATTGGATTGGAACTTACATGAGATACATGAAGCATGTTGTTTTTTATTCTTTTTTTATTAAATGTATTCTTTTAAGGGTTTTTTTTTATTGTTATTTTTTGTTTTGAAACAGAAAATCTCAAACGTGGCCTATAAAAATAGACTGACTTATGAGTAATAAAAAAAGATTCTAAAATAATGAGCATATCCTCTTAATTTGGAGGAAATCATGAGTTGTGTGGAGGGTAATTTTGAAAAACAAATATAAGATTACCAGTTAATGTTAAAAACATCTATTTCTCAAACATAATCCACTAATATAATTTGTTAACATTAAAGTAAATATATAACTAAAGTTAATAAGTTTTCTAAACATTAAAACAGCCCTTATACCCAAGTCAGTAAATAATCAAGTTTAATCGATTTCATGGTACTACCATTAACGCTTAAACTTATATAACTCCTCCCCAATTAGCCTAATGCTTAAGGGCTAACCTCTACTACTACTCTCCCACCCACGCTTCTCTCACATCATTTAAAATCATCATGCCGTGATGATCAGGAAAGTTGTGGATCTGACAAATCATTTCCATTAAGGTTGAACAAGTTATATGGGACCCAAAGCATTCACCTAAGACAGCTGGTATCCTCATGGATGCCACTGCCACCCACATTCTAATCTTGATTTTGACCCTTTCACAACAAACTGACTTTGAAAATCGAGACATTTCGATCAGAAATCTAAACTGAATAATTGAGTCCATTTACTAATACATAGAAACCAGACACGAGGAAAATACACAACTGCCAAATTCACAAGTTTTAAGAGACCCCATTTCGATGAGGTCTGTGTTTGGGACCATGCTTAGTGCCTCGCCTTTCTCCTCTCTTTGTATCTTCCATGGTGTTCATCTGTCTTGAAATACCACAAAATTTCACAAACAAATTATTAGTATTCAGTTTGGATAATAATGAACCAGTTAAAGAGACCCATGAAGTAACTAACCCCTAAGCAAAATCCTTGTACACTCATTTTGAAATTTGAACAGTCTTCAACGATGGAAGATGACATCTCAGAGGAACTTCGTTTGTTAATGGAGGTGAAGCTTTTTGTTTCAGAAGACAAACCAAATGACTCGATGTCACTTTGAAACATCTCTTTGAACAAATCCTTTATCTCCTCAAAGCTCGTCTCCACATTGTCCTGACAACACCAAAAAGAATTTTGAAGATCGTTGTATTATATAATGCTTTTGAAGAAAAAACTCACATTGGGTTTGTTTTGATTCATCATTGTTGCCATTTCACTCAAGAAATCTGCCATTCCCTGCTTCAAATCAACAAATTATAGCCATAAATAAAGATCGTTATTAAAGACGATGAATGTCGTTTGCAAGAAAGAAAGAACAAACTTACATCTGTGTCATCGTCGCTGTCATGAATTCCGACATCATACAGAAATCTTTTGTTCTCGTCCGAAAGTACTAGGAAACAAACGAATACCCGACAAAATTAAACAAAACTTTCAAGATGAGATTTTTATTCACACCCAAAAAAGGAAAAAAATTGATGCAGATTACAAAATAATTAAGATTGCATGTAAGAAAATACCAGAATAAGCTTCTTGAATTGCCTGAAATTTTTTTTTCGCTTCTTCCACATACTTTGAATTACCGGATGCCGAACAGCGATCAGGATGCCATCTCTATAGCCACATCGAACACAACAACAAAAAGTTTACCCAAATTTCAATCTCGTAAATAATTTTTTGATGAATTACACAATGTAAAGAAATTTTTTAAGTTTCTTGATTCACCATGGAAGTAGAAAACTTGCAATTTGCAATGAACAATTAAGTTGTTTAACAGGTCAAAATATCATTTTCCAGATAACCCTTTTCAAGACAATCAATTGGGCATTCCAATGTATTAAAAACAATAACTCTTTAGAAATCGAAATTTTCTTTTTTAACGAAAAGATTGAATTAAAAGTTCTGACCAGTGCAAGCTTTTTGTAGGCGTTCTTGAGCTCTGTTATCGTGCATTCCTTCTTCAACCCCAAAACTTGATAAAAATCGATGTTTTTTTCTCCATTACCATCCATTCTCCAAACCCTTAAACAACAAGATTCAATATGAAGCTACAAGAATCTACTGAAACTGTTTCTTTTTCTGTTGGCGACAAATTAATTGTTAGCTTAAACAGGAGAAAAGATGAAAGCCAATTAACCCCTGGTGTGGTTATTGGATTCTTACGATTGTTGATGGAATCGTTATAAGGCGATACATGTTGGTGATTGTAGAGAAAAACACGGCACGTTGGAATGTTTCCGTAGGGAAGTGAGCCTGGGATTATGTACATGATACATACGACGTTTAAGGCCGCAAGAAGTCTCCAGAAACAAGAATAATAGTATAGTACAATTATATGTTGGACTTGGAATAATAATGAGTTTGTGTTGAAATGGGGTCGGTGGTTGGAGATATTTTTTGTAAAAGAAAAAAAAAAAAGTGGATCATTCGAAAGAGGTGGATCTAAATACGAAACTTTTGAGTTAGCATCGTAAAAAAACACACTAATTTATTAAAACCAAAAGGCAGTTATCCATCGTTAAATAATCGAAACAAAGTTAATAGAATTATTATTGTCAAAATTGCAAAATTGATTTATGTAATTTGTCATATCTGGTTAGGGCTTTTATTGTTTTAAAGTTGTAAATATAACTTTTGCTAAATAGGTTTTATTATGAATTTGATCTGTATGATAATTAAAAAAATAATTTTTCCTAATCGGTTTTCTTTTATAAATTTTTAATGTACATTAAATATTTGACAAAATTGTAAGAATGGTCGCTGTGGTATGTCCAAAATTGTCACTCAGTCTGGGCCAAACAAGTTTGGACTAGCACCAATGGTCTAAAATTTTCCATTTTGTTGCCACTTTGGTCCATTTTGGTTTGATTTTTATAAAATGATGATTTTGCCCTTTGTATTTTCTTTTTTCAGTTTTTTTATTACAAAAATAAAAAAAGAAAATACTCTCTCTCTCTCTCTCTCTCTCTCTCTCTCTCTCTCTCTCTCTCTCTCTCTCTCTC